AGACTTTCCCTCTTCCGATTTTATATATATCTGTCGTATCGAAGTTAGCATGTTTATCGAAGTTATAACTTCGATAAACATGCTAACTTCGATACGACATATATATTGAATCAATCACGATTGTCGTTTATTAGACTAGATACTCAGCAGATATCAAATCTGTAAACAAACAAAAAATAGAGACGTAGCGAAGATGTCGATGTTAGTTTTATCTAGATTCACAGTCAACTAATGCGATAAAAAGAAGTTTTAAAGATCCGAAAATATAAAAGTATTTGATTGACATACTGATCAATTACCAATACTTAAGGATGCAGCGGTAATGGCACATCGTACTATCGATGTTACCGATCTAAACATCTACGTATAGACTAACGCTAAATTTTATTAAAAAATACAAAGACTAAATGCTTTCGGGCTCCACGAATCCAAATATGTATGAAGTTTGTCAATATTCTGGTTCAAGAAAAGTTTAGATCTCACGGTTTATTCATATTTTATAAAATTAAGCTTGATTATTGAGATAGACCTCCGTCTACCGAAAAAGTTCAAACAAATCTAAGATCAGCGTTGTTTTATCATGTGTTCACCGTCTTCGTTATCATTCTATAAGTGCATGTCTAAACCTGTGCAGCGCTCTACCTAAGACCGATGCACCGCTACTAACAGTAAATAGTGAGTCAGTGCATCAGTATATGATGGTACTGGTGATCACTGTTGCATCCTTACCTGTATTAGTTTAATTTCTGATGCAAACGACGACCGTCAATACCACTGACAATAATTTGTAGCAATTCTGACGAATGGTAAATGTTTGTAAAAACTTGTCGTTGACAAAGAGTCAGTCGATCCGTTTACATACTTCGTCAGTGTTCTGTTACAGACATCTCCCGACTTGTCTTTCCGTAGAAGTCATTATAATTTCTCTCATCTTTCCATGTCTATTAGTAAAGAGATAGTCTTGATTATACAAATCTATAATGCACTCGAATATATCTAAACAAACATGAAAAGACAAAATACTGTTGATATACATTTTTCATTCGCATATAAACTAAATAGTTCGAAATATACAAAAAATTATTTGTCGATAATTGTTCATTTTTTTATTTTTTTTTTATTTCAAAATAATCGAATTTATTGTTTGTTAAATATAATATAGTTCTTTAATAAGTAAAGTTTTATTGTCTAAAAGTAGAATATTTATATAATTTTATAAGATTAACCTTGAAATCTTTTATCTCATTTAGACACGAAAAGTATTAAGTGTTTGTGAAAAAAATCCAGTTGATGAACATCCATTAAATTATGATGAATATAATCCATTTGATATATGTGCTGCATCCTATGTACCAATTTATCGGTATGAAATAATAAAAAACAAAAAAAAAAGAATTTTAATTAAAGTGAATATTTGATTCTTGTTTAGTGGAAATCCATTAGTGAAATGTCCATTATCCGGTGCAGCTTATTTACCGGAATTTAAAGGACAATTATGTCGTGTTACAAAAGCAACGGAAATTGGAAAAGAATCTCTTGGTCTTAGGATTTCAATGAGTCAATTTCGTTAAAAAAAAAAAAAGAACGTTCTTTTTAATTTTATTTCATTATTATTAACTTTTAATGGATATATTTATCATTTATAAAGATTAACTTATCAATAGAACATTTTTCTTATATTTCAAGATCATTCAATTGTTGTTGTTGTTCATTCTTCATCTTCTTTTTTTTTTTCTTAGAAAACAAAAATAACTAAAATTTGTTTTATCATCATAAAGTTAATCGAAATAATTCGTTTTTTTTTTTGTCATATAAATATCTAAAGATACAATTTTTCAAGATAAATAACGATAAAAATCTCTTTAAGTTAATACTTTTTCAAAGATATATTCTTTTAAAAAGAGAATTTAGAATTAATGCTTTCTATATCGAATAATAAAAAAGAATCTTAGATAATATGAATAAAGTATTTCGATGTATAAAACGATGTCAATGCAACTGAGTAATTTTAGATTATTAAACAAATATATCTATATTGTTCGATTCAATGTTTGACCTATGAAAGTTGTCAATTTAGTGATGATTAGTTCTTTTTATATGAGCTATAATCAATTTTGATAAAAGGAATTTATCACTGGATCGAATTCCCATAAGAAGAACTAGTAAGGAGCTTTTCTTTAACTAGATTCTTCCGGTTCATTGAACTATGAGTTGTTCAACATCTATTCAATATTAACATCGACAGTCTTTTCTTGATTAACTTAAGTAAATATATGTACGTAGATTGGGAACAATCGATACTAAATATAATAAGTGATTTTACAAACAAAAAAAGAACACTTATTCATTCATTATTAGACTGACGAAAACCATAAATGATATGTAGAACCATTATATTGATCAATTATAATTTAGCAGTGTTCACTGTACAGAGGTTATAGTATATAATCATACTATTTATAAGAATTATAGATAATCAAATCTATAAAAAAAAAAAAAAGAAGAAAACAAACAAACTACTTATTGTGAATGTTTTCATATTTATAAAGAATGATTTATTGAAATAATAAAGACAAATTTTTCTTATTGTATTTTATTCGAACAATTTAACAATGAAAACAATTCAAAATTATACAATAAGAAATTATTTTTCATTATAAAAACAATAAAATTGATTTTATTTTCTATAGATAAAATAAAAACTAAAATGAAGAATCATAATAATAATGATGATGATGATAATGATTTTCCATTCAATGGTTTATTTTCCCCAATAGAAAAGATTTTTGCTGATTTCGATCGATTTTTCTCTGGTTTTCCAAATATATTTTCAATTCCTTCACAAGATTTTAACAATGATGATCCTCAACCATCAACAAGTTTAAGAGATGAAGTTCTTAAACAAGACATTCAAAGTAAAAACAACGAATATTTTCTCAAAAACAAAAATTTTCTTCAATTTATTTTTCATAGATAATTATTATGGTGATGAAAATCTTGATTCTACTATCGAAAAACATGGTCTTAATGGAGCATTTCCAAGAACATTTTCAAGTTCTTCAATGATAACAACAATGCATCGAGAAACAACACCATCAGGAAAATGTGTTATTGAAAAAAAAATTCAACATTCATCAAATCAAAATGAAAATAGAAAAACTGAAACAATAAGTAAAATATGTGGAGATAAATATCATACAACAATAAAACAAGATGGAAAAATAATTCGAGAATATGGAAATTCAACAATAGATGAATTAGATAAAATTGATTCACCATCGAATGATAATAATGATGAACCAATTATTAGTGGAAAAAGACATTCGGATTTTTTTAAGAAACTTTTTTCTTAAATAAAAGTTCTTCGATCCATCATTTCCTAGAAATAAACAAGAGAAAATCTTATGTTAGTTTTTTTTTGTTTTGTTTTGTTTTGTTTTGAAAAATATCTATTTGTTTTTCTTTTTTTTTTTTTACTTAATATATTTTATTTTTTCCGCTTTGTCAAAACTGAGTGTCTTTTCCGATTGTGAATAAACTTGTCGACAACAACATCATTTTCCTCAACAACGACAGAAAAAAAAGAAGAAAAAGGTGTCAATTCAAATCGGACGAGTATCCGACAACTTACAACAACTAGAAAAACTCTTTTTTTTTTCTCTGCTCTTCATTTACGATTCATTCATATTAACGAATATCAACTTAATCTTGTTATTAGTTTATTAGAAACAATCTACAAATATTTCGATATCAATCTTTCCCATAAGGTAAGCTAGTTAGACACGTTGGATGACATATTAGTATCATTCATTGGAACAAAAAAAGTTTTCTTTTCTTGACATTTCGGAAAAAGAAAGAAAACTGTCACTAACAGAAGACTTTCCTCTTCTTGCTATTCTCATTAGTCATGGAGTAACATTGTTAAATAGGACATAAACGGAAGCGAAGAAAGCATTGTGAAAATTAAGAAAGTTATTTTTCTCTCTTTTTTCTGACTCTTCTTTTTCTTTTATTTTCACTGATTCATTAAAAAGGATTGGCTGGAATAGAAAACGAGATTCTCTTTTCTTTTTTTTTTCTTCTTCTTCTCATCATCAAAATGAAGGCTATAGGGAACAACAAGAAAAAGTTGATGATTAAGGACTATTACCTATGGAAGCGAAGTGAAGCACATTATTTAATTGGCCTCACGAGAACCGAAGAGAGTTCAATTTTTTGATTGTATTTAAAGAAAAACAAAATCGTAAATTTCTTTTTTAAGATTTGTTTGTTTTTTCTTCTCAATGACTAACTTTTTTAATGACGTCAACTGGTGGAAATCCCGACAAACGATTAGATCTTGTTCAAAAGACTTATCATCTTCAAACAACAAACAATAATATTGAAAATTCTCCACCAAATCGTCCTTTAGTTACAAAAGTGTCTAATCATCAACCATCTCGTAAAACGTCTGTTCACGACGTACACGAAGCTAACAACGATCACTTTAACAAGGTAAAATTTTGAATATTTTTTACAAAAATATTATATTATTTTAATTTATATTTAATATAGACAGTAGGAGAAATACATGAAGGTATTGCTCGTTTAAATGGTGTATTAGAAACAATGACAGGCGCTGCTTCTGTTCGAGACGAATTTGGAAAAATAAAACTTCAATTAATTGTAAAAATTGCCGATTTTATTTATAAATTAACAAATGATGCTGGAAGAAGGTCATTTTTATTTATTTAATTAATTTCAATAGAAATAATTTTTTTTTTTCGTTTTTAAATAATAATTTAGATCATCGAATGGTTTAAAAGGAAGTTCAACTAATTTAACATATAATCCTCAACATATAGCGTATTGTGTTGAATATTTTCGAAATCAACTTATAAAAGCTAAATATTTATTTTCATCATTAACTTTATCAGCTTCAATTGGTTCATCAACTCTTGAAAATATTATTGTTAAATCTCTTTATACAATAAATCTTCAACAAACATTATCAAATACTCAAGATGCACAAAATATTGAAGATATAATAGGAATAAAAAAGTACTACAGTAATTTACATTCGAAAATGAATCAATATAAATAAAATTGTTCGTTTAGGGATATTTCAAATTTAGAAGAATATATATCTTTACTCAATCAACGTTATGCAAATCATATTGCAGATTGGCAAACATTAGGTTAGCTTATTTTTTTGTTTAGTTTGTTCCCATGGTAATATCTTCTTTTTTTTTCTTCTTTTTCCTCGTTGTTCTTTAAAAATAGAAGATGGAATAGGGGGAACGGCGACGATGACAGGAGAGGAAAAATTGCTTACTGCTAATGCTGGATTTAATATTCAACGATTGGGAGTAATTNCTGGTTATATTTTATATACTCAAGCACGATTACTTAATCAATCATATTGGATTTTACCGTTTGTTATAAATGCTGACAAAAATTTTAATGTTGATACAACTCGATTACAAAAACTTTTTGATCAAATATAAATGATTTTGTTCTTTTTCTCAGTTATATTGTGATCATTATTTGTTGATATTTTATCAAATAATTATCAATGGGATCACATAAGTCAAAAAAATGTCATCTCTGATGATGAAACAAACAAAAAAAACTGATGTTTTTCAAAGTCATTCATGAGAAGGAAGATTTTAAGCAGATGCAGAAGATTTTATTCTTAATCGAAACTATGCAATGATGTCAATGAAAATGTCTATTTTGATCGAGGAATTTGAAATACATCAAGTTGTTGACTGTTTCATCACTTTAATGGCACTTTTTTTACTTTTTGACTCCCTAAGTATTGTTGAATTCAAACACATTTAATAGGTGCACTTTTTAATCATTTTCATTATGTTTTTTTCTTTTGTGGAATCATTAAAAGAAGCCTTTTCTTGAACTCACATGTATTTTAGAAGAGAATAGTGAGTGAAAGGTTCAAATCGAAGTTTTATGGCTTCCACTCTCGCCTTCATTATATGCCATATGCACTAAGGACAACAGACAGCAGATTCTTTTCCTAAAGTTCCTTAGCGATGGGCAAACGCTCTGAACAGTATTAGCGACAAGACTTATACTGTTCTAAAACATTCCAAAGTTTTCCTTGGAGTTTGAATGGTTGGAACACGTTCTTCAATGTTTTTAATAGTGCAGTTTTTGTTTTTTGTACACATAAAAATTTATGTTCAAGATCTCAACAATGATCGATAGAGATGTATTAATTTGCTAGTCTTAATATGCTAAACATAAAACTTTGGAAAATAATCAAAATGAATATTTGTAAGGTTATCAAGATATATTAATGTTGAATTACGAAAAATCGAATATGGAAAAGATAAATAACAAGCGAATATCAACATGATAAACAAAAAATAGAACAACAGTAAAAAAGCAAGAAAAAAAATTTGTTCAAAACATAGAAATAAATAAGACAAGACAAGACAAGTTGTTTCTCTCGCGATCGAGTATCCTTGGAAAGTAACTCATAGTCTGCTAGAGACTTATTATGTAAGTTATTTTGTATTATTATAATGAAGCTAAGAAACACATGTGACTTGCATATTTCACTCCCCAAGAGATTGTGCTATCAAGCTGTTTTCTTTTTTTCTAAGTTCAAAATTTTGTAATGGTCTTTAAAATAAATATACATAAGTAAGAATAAGATCTTTAATCAAGTTAAACTGTATTGTGTGTGACAGTTCCATAATTTGAAGTAACAACAATATGAAACAGGAAAGAACTTTTTTCGATAAAAGGAATGTCCTTGATAATTATAGATGAATAATTCTTCGACCAATTAGCAGGATGGTTCTCTAGTCTTCTCAACATGCTGCGATGGCCGAGTGGTTAAGGCGTCTGACTCGAAATCAGATGGGTTCTCCCGCGTAGGTTCGAATCCTACTCGCAGCGATCCTTTTTTTTCTTTTCAATTTATTCTCATTTCAGCACTGTATGCTGCATAACAGGAATATGCTCAAAAAATCAGTGCAAATTAGCTTGTTGAAAAGTTTTCAAATCGATTGAATATATCACAATGCTTTATCTCACAAAACTAATAACAATAATTACTTCTCGGTTATAAGAATCGTATATAAAATATTTCAAGATGTGTTTCTAATATCTCGATTTGATTATGTCAAATATGGTTAGTGAGAAAATCTTATTCTGGATTTTTTTAATAAACAGCTACAAATTGAACTAAAAGTAATTTTCTTTAAAAAATCTTTCTAGTTAACATATTTCATTTGAAAGAGTTTTTCAAAAAAAGCATTCAGTATGATCGTTATTCGTGAGATGTCGCTATTATTTAATGTTAATAAATATAAATCATATTTTCATAATTGATTTTGTGTAATAAATGACCGATATCTAAATCTAAAAATAAATATTTAAAATAAAGTTAAAAGATTTTTAATTGAAATATCAAATAGAGGTTTTCCTCGAGCGATGCAAACGAACATGGTTGTCTCAACAAAATTTTATTAACACGTGCATCTAGCTCTTTGTGAAGCTAAATGGCAGCATCATCACTGGTAGCAAGTATGGATGGTGGTGGTGGTTTAAATGCTAGTGGAACAGGTGGTGTCGAAATTGCTAAAGCTTTATCTAGTATGCAAATACGTAATGAACAATTTCGTCACTTATATGAAGAACTTAAAAAAGAATATTCAACATTATCTGATGCATATGCTGATTGTCAACGAACATTAGAAAAATCTACTGAAGACAATCGTCAAATGCAAGAAAAATTTAAAAATTTACTTGACAAATTACAAATGGACAATCGAAAAAAACAAACACAAATTGAAGAAATGAAAACACAGGTTTTATTTTATTTTTTTATTTTTTTTTTGTCTTATTTCTGCATTTTTAAAAATTTTATTTAGTTACTTGACAATAGTAAAATCGATCAAATTCGTGATCGTTTATCTTCGGAAGTCGAAGGTCCATACAAATCAGCATTATCACAATTAGGTAATCAATTAGAACAAACTAAAGCTGAATTAACAAAAGTTCGTTTTGAATTAAATGCTCGAATAAAAGAACATTCTTCTGAATTATCTCAAAGAGATCAAATAGCAAGTGAAATTCAATTAAAAACTGAAAAAGAATTAGGAGCATTAAGAAAAGAACGTGATCTTCTTCAACAACATATTCGTCAAGAACATCAAAAAGATACAAATATTGAACAAAATCGTTCAAGAGAGATAACACAATTGAAAGCAAAAATTGAACAATTTGTTCAAGAATTAAATGAAGCGAGAGAAGTTAAACTTCATGCCGAACAAATAGCTGCAACAACACAAAGAGAATTATTAAAAGAACGTTCTTTATCAAAAACAAATTCTTCTCTTATTGAAGTAAAAACTCTTATTTCTTTTCTTATTTTTGTTTTTACTTTTCAAAATAGAATGAACGTGATTCATTAAAACAACAATTAGCAACAACACATCAAGAATTAACATCTCTTAGTGAACAATTAACAACAGCTAATAGACAATTACATGAAAGAGATCTTCGAATTGCACAAATTAATTCGGAATATGAAAATATTCAACATCGATTTAAAGTAGAAGTTGCCAATCATAAAATTGATTTAGCTAAAGTACAAAGAGAACAGTTAGAACAACAAGAACAGTTAAAACTACATATTCAAGGTTAGTCTTTAAAAATAAACAAATATAATTCAAATTTTCATAAATTAAATCTTTCTTTTTTTTTTTTGTTATTTAATTTCTTTACATTATAATGGTTTCTATTATTCAATGAGATAGATTTTTCACGTTGCGTAAAAACTCATGACGATGATGAAAGCTCTCAAACACGATACCGTATAAAAATAGATTATTTTTTTTTTGAATTTTCGGAGAATTCATTTGAACTTCCACAACATTCCGATATTTTCCACTTGAGGATATAAAGGAGGAAATAGAGATAATGGATTACGTAGAACACTTACCTGGAGAGATGATTTCATTATGTGTGAAGACCAGTGTATAAAAATTCAGTGTCATTTCGCACTAGGCGACATGTTCTCTGAGTGCATGCAGATCGTATGATACCTTTTATGAATCTCCAGAAAACTCATCAAAGTCATTATACGCTACATATCATTATTTGATACGATAATGTACAGTCGTCATACGGTTTATACAAAAATGGTGAATTATGATCTGAAACGATTGTTTACCATTGTACTTCCTTGATTGTGATAGTCTTTAGAAAAATAATGTTGAGATCAAGAAATAAGTCAGATAGAAGATGTGCTTGAGTCACCACCGTAAGCTATTCTACGTTTATCGTGATAATCTTGAAGATTAATGACTGTTTGAGTGAATTGATTAATAATTAGAAAATATTTCACAAAGTTTTTTGTGTACTCAAAAAGTGAGTACACTCTAGAATCGGTCAGTATGTCCGGCCGTCCGTCCGGCCGGCCGTTTACACGATAACTTTCGAAAGGAGAGTCCGATCACGATGAAATTTTCTACACAGTTCAGTCTTTACAATATCTCGGTCGAGTTCGAAGATGAGAAGGATCGGCNTTTTTTAGAACTTGAAGAAAAAATCGCTCTTTTAACTTCTGCTAAATCAAAATTACAATTAAATGTTCAAGAAAGAGAACATAATTTACTCACAAGTGTTCAAGCAGCAAGAGAAGATGAATGGAAAAAAATTAGTGAAATCACTAATGAAAAGTAATATTCATTTTCATCCGTTAAATATTTTTTTCTTCGTTTCTTTTTATAGACTTAATTTAGAAGCTGATTTAAATATCTTTAAAAAATCCAATGATGAACGACAAAAACAATTTGATATTGAACGTGATCGTTTATATGAACAAATGAGAAGTTTAGAAAAAAATCGTGATGAATTAACAAAGGAAAATACATATTTAAATACAACGATTAAACAAATGAATGATTGTCAAAATGAATTTGAACGTGAACAAGAAAAATCTCGAGAACTTTATAGAAAATGTGTTAAACTTGAAACTCAACTTTCTTCAACTAATGGAATCGAAGTATTTTCTATCTTTTTATTTTATCTTATTTTGTATTTATTATCTTTATTGTTTTGTCTTTTAGCAAGAACTAACGGAAATAAATTTGAAATTAAAAAATGAATTGAATCAATTAATGAATGAATGTCATTCGAATAAACAAGAAGTTCAACAAGTTATTTTATATATTTTATTTTATTTTATTTTCAATAAAGATTTTTATTTAGATGAATAATCAATGTACAACAACAATTGAAAATGCTCGTCGAGCATTTTTTAATGAAAGAAAAGAAATGGAAATGAAAATTGAACAATTAGTTGAACAATTAAAAAAATATAAAACAAAAATGATTGAATTACAAAGAGAAAAAAAAGAATATCGATTAAGATATCAAAATTTTTCACAAAAATTAATTGAAAAAAGTCAATTAATTGAAGCAAAACTTAATGAAATTAAACAAAAAGAATTAAGTTTACAGTAAGAACTTTTTTTATTTTATTTCTCACTAGATTTTGTTATCGAACAAACTAAGATTAAGACTACTTCGGAGTCTATTTTATAATAGCAATCATCTTCTTTTAGTCAATCTTAAATATCAAATAGTTTATTTCTTTTATTTTGTCTAGAGATCTAACACTCAGAATAGAAACTATAAATTAAACGAAACATATGAATAGATATTTTATCACGACTAGATGCAAAGTAAAACGAGATAATTTTAGCTATTCCTGGATTCCAAACGATTGGAACAAATCAATCTCTCAGACAGAAAAAAAAGAAAACCTATTCTATGTCTGTCATATTGATATTTATTCCTTTATTTGTAGAAATGTTGTTAGTCTTCAAACACATAATCGTGTAAAACGTCAATTATCTCAATTATTAAAAAAACATACACAATTTCAAACACTTCTCGATGCAAATAATATAAATCAATCATCAGTACAATTAGATGTGAGTTGAACGAAAAATTATTCTTCAAATAAGATTTTTTGTTATTTTTTAAAATTAGGAAAAATATGATCTTAATTCAATGTTAACTCGTCTCGATCGTTTATCACATGAACAAAATTATCAATTAAATGATTTTATTCCAAGTAATTATTTTATCTTCTTACTCGAAACATGACTTATTTTATTGTTTGTTTAGCGAAAGAAAGTTCATTAGCTCTTTCAAATCACTTTGAATCAAATTTAACTCAAAGTGGAATATCATCTTCTTCACCAGATAAACGAAAGATAATTCGATTTGAAGAAGAAAATGATTAAACGAAGAAGAATGTTATTCTTCATTAAGTGAACTATTTATATTTCAATACAGATATGTTTTTGTTTTGTTTTACTTTTCGATTCTATCGCCCAGTGTTATGGACATCTTAGATAGACTATCTTTATTATACATATTGAAACTAGTTTATAATAATTGTGTTTATTAGATCAAGTTGTTTTATTCGATTGGGCTTGTTTTTCTTTCTTTGTAAACATCTTTATGAATTTATTATCGATAATAAATGCTTTTATTTCATTTGAAATAAATTTTATCATTTTTTTAGTTATTGGTTAAATATGTAGTTATATGAATTTTTTTTATTCTACAAAATCTCAAAGAACTTATCGATAATTCATATCAAACCTTTAGCAATGTAATAAAAATATATCCTAGATAAGAAGTTAACTCTAATCAAGTTTTATTAATACTACAATATGTGTTTTTATCGACATTGAATCTTAGATGAATCGTCTAAAGAAAAATCAAATTGTATAAGAACCAAGGGGGAAAAGGCGATACTCCAGGAGTGCATACTCCACCGATACTCCACACTACTCCACCGGTACTCCACTCTACTCCACTGATACTCCACCGA